GGGGGGGCAATTGTGAGGACAAGATGGCAGGAAGAGTTGAGGCAGGGAGCGAGAGCTAGAGGGAGGGTGGATGAGGAAGGAGGAAGAAAGTGGGGGAGAGTGGGGGAGCACCTAGTGAAGGGACGGAATGAAAGATGAATTCTGAACTTTGTGTATAGCAGTCTCATATGTTTTCCCACCAGGTTGAGAAGTACGGAGATATCTTCTTGTGAAGCATCAGAAAAGCGTTTGTCTTCATGGAGCTGCTAGGAGGCTAACAATGTGCGGACATGTCAGATGAAAGCGTTGTGTCGTTGCAACCATGCCGTGTAGAAGGATCATCATCCTCATGCTGAGATATCTTCCTACATACCACTGCATCCTCTGCCTATGCGCTCCTCTTGCGATCTTGATCCTCCTGTCGTCAAGCATTGCTCATGAACGCGTCAATTCCAAGACCATGCTCCTTGCAACTCATGCGAATGTTTCCCGCGCTCATGGAGGGCACGACAAGACGATTCTTGTGCTCAAGAGAGAGAAAGGCTGGCATGGCTTCTCCCGCTCCACGAGATCATCCACAAGAGCGGTGTCCACCGCGATCAAGCATGAGGTACACAGGATGCACATCGCCAAGTTGAAGCCACATGTGATAGAATCCAAGAACAGCTCTGCGATCCATTGCAAGCTGATTCGAAACTCGGCAACAAGGAAGAGATTCCTGGAGAAGAATGAGCTCCAGCATCTCGGAGGGCATGTTGCTCTCGCCAGCTTCCCTTCGTCCGGCAGTTTCATCGCCCGGACTCTGATCGAGAAGTCGACAGGGGTGTGGACGGGGAGTGATGTCAAGGAGTACGACAGGAAGAAGCTTGCTGGTGAAGGAACCCATCACGATGCCGTTTGGTTCGTACAGACTCACTGGCCCGACCGCCCGGCTCCCTCGTTCTCGGCTCGTAGGGCTGTCGTGCTGGTGAGGAACCCGCTGCATGTTCTTGTCACGTGGTTCAACACCATGGCAACCGGAGCGCAGAACCAAACTCTGCCCAAGTTCGTCTACAAGCGCTGGCGCAACGTGTGGGAGAGCTTCGTGAAGCACGAGCTCCAGGTGTGGAAGGGCTTCCACGACTACTGGCTGAAGCACAGGAGCTCCGAGATTCCTGTGCTCGTTGTGCGGCTCGAGGACTTGCTGGGCTCGCGCAGGGAGCAGGTGGTGGATGAGATCGTCGCCTTTGCTGGGGCCAACGCGTGCGGCCTGAAAGGCTCGCACGCTGCCTGTCTCTCGAGCTTGCCAGGGAGGGAGGAGGAGCAGCTGGGGAAGGAGCTCATCTTGCCGCAGCTCTTCAGCCCGAAGCTGCTGGAGTGGGTTAGGAACGAGACCAGGACGTGGGCTTGCCTGCTGGGATACGGGAGAGAAATTCTGGGAGAGGGATGGGAGAAGGTGTGCCGCGCTGCAGAGAAGAAGTCGTTCAACATGGCGGGGAGCAACGAAGGAGAGCATGTGAGAGGATGCAGGGGGCTCGGAACGGGGGCAGAGAGCAGCGGCGGGTTTATGACGATCAACAGGCCTCAGCACTTCTGCCTTAGAGAGTATCTCTGTCATCACAGGAAGATCGGGAACATGCGCATGCTCGAGCAGACGCCGCACGTCGACGGGCCGAACCTCAAGCGCATCCTGCGCATGAAAGGCTTCCGAATGAACGAGCTGCGGGCTGGGTAGACTATACTTCCCTGCTGCCCGTTCTTGAGCACAGGCTGGGATAGAAACTCAGTGTAGGACAGAGTGGGTGGACGGGATGGCCGCTAGCTGGATGGAAGGGAGGACAGGAGGCAGTGAAACTCGCTGCCGTTAGCGTCAGTTTGACGATTTTGACAAGATTTTTCACTCACGAATGCCGAGGAGGAAGCCGGAGGAGATTTGACCTTGTCTTGGTGGCTGGAAGAGGGTGGAACGGCTGGAGGAGAGCTTGATAGGCGGGGGGCAACGCTGGAAGCTAAAGGGCATCATGTGAGGGGGAGGAATAAGGGGGAGCACGTTAGAGGGGGAAGGAGGGAGGAGGACCGGAGAGGGAGGGGAGAGACCGATGGAAGGGGAGGAGGAGGAGGAGGAGGAGGAGTCAAGACTTCACCCTGTCCTGAGGCTTCTGTGGTCTGTAATGCAGAAGTGTTAAGGAAGCAAACGAAAAGCAGAGAAGAACATGCGAAGACACGGCGAGGAAACGAGAGCGAAAAGGCTAGTGTGGAGGCAACTTGGATACCTGATGGACGAGCGGACATGGGGAAACAGCGAACGATCTGCCGAGAAACGTTGAGAAAGCAAAGGCGAAGGAGCAGGGGGGAAGGGCAGGTGCAGGAGAAGGATCGAGAGGAGGAAGGAGGAGGAGGAGGAGGAGGAGGAGGAGGAGGAACGAACCCGCGGCTGCTGGGTCTCACGAGGGGCATATTAGCTTCCTGTTAGGCATGTGAATGAAAAGTTTGAGGGGGAGAATCGAGTCAGACAACCTTCTCGAACCGAAGCTGATCTTGCAGAGTATCCTAACAGGTGAATGTCAGGTGGGGAGGGAACAGCATCTTCCTCACCTGAACCTCAGCCATTGGAATGCCCAGCTCCTGCTCCACCTGTTCCTCTACCTGCGGGTGATGTCAAGAGGAGCGGCAGAAGGGGTGGGGAGGGGGAGGGGGAGGGAGCACAAGACAGGAGTGGGGGAGTGAGCGAGGATGGATAAAAAGAAGTTAGGAAGTGAAGGCAGCAGTGAGGAGGTGACGGCAGGAATAGGATGATGAAGCGGCGGGCATGGGGCGGCAGGAGGAAGGAGGAAGGAGCAGGGGGGGGTGAAGAGGGGAGGGTGTTGATGCTACCCTCTTCCTCATGGCTGCTGTGTCGTGGATGCTGAGAGGCCTGGACAAGGCCGCATCCTTGGCAAGGTCCTCCTTGCCATCGCACAGGGACGAGGAAGAGCTCAGCCTCCTGACCTTCTTCTTCATCCCGCTGGCTGGACCATCAAGGGAGGAGAGCGATGAGGAAGGAGAGACCTGTTGAAGTGGTTCTTGACAGCATTGTCCGTCCTGCCTGGCAGCAGCTGCAGGAGCAGGTCAGGGAAGGGGGGGAGATCATTTGCATTACCTTGGCGATCTCAGCCCATCTGATGTCAGGAGGCAGGAGGTAGGAGGAGGAGGAGGAAGGGCAAGCAGGTGGGAGGAGGAGAGGTAGCAGGAGGTAGGAGGGAGGACATGGATATCAAAGATCAGCAAGCACAAGAAGAGCAAGAAGAAGGGTCAGCGATTCGACGAGGGAGTCAGAGCTTGACTCACCGATTGCCGTAGACGGCTGATTGTGAGAGAGAAACAAAGAGGCGTCAACACCAACGTCGAGGATTTATAGCACTATTACCATGGGCATGGAAGAGAATTACTTCTTCCTCTCTTGTCCATGATGACTTCTTAATGTTCGGATCCAGCATGTTGTGCCATCTTTCCCTGTAGTTTGCAGAATCATTGATTTCTTCAATCCTCCTCCTCCTCATCATCATCATCATCATCGTCATCGTCATCATCTTTATGATAACCAACACATCGCATGGCCGGATCAGAAACACCAACACATATTGATCATATCTCATCTCACCTGATCTGTTTCCCGGTCCTTCTTGGAATATACTCCGCAACTTCCTTCCATGATGTACCTTCTCAACGTCATTCTTGCACATCATATGAATCACTTCACCATATTTCTCGACCAGCGACCGAATCAAGTTGTCTTCTTCTTCCGTCCAACCTCGGCACACTGACTTGTCTTTCAACCTGCCCATCGTCAAAAAAAAAAGTCACGGAGTGCATGCAGCATCGGACTTACTTGTCACTCTCCGATGAAAGATGAGCAACAGGAGATGAAACAATCCCTCCCATGCCCGGTAAGAGCATCAGGTCAAGTTTGGGAGGAAGAAGTAGCGTGTTGTTAGCCAGGATCGAGTCTGATCCCCCTGAAGCAAACAGGGGTCAAAGGGTTGTCAATCGCAGAGGCGAATCCTCTGATTACCATCCTGCTTCATGCTTGTGAGAATGTCAGTTACGTTTCTCGATCTGAACGAAATCGTCGGCTCCTCCTCCCCTCTCCCTGCTCGATGACTGTGGAAGGATCAGCATCTTCAAAAGAAAGGAAACAAGTGCCTGACCTTCCACCCTCCTCGTCTCCTCTCTCTGAAGTTCGTTTCTTGCTCTCAATGCTCTCGTTGACCTGATGCTGATCTGATGAGAGCGCCTGAACTGCCCAGCATGTCGAATGCTTCCCACCGCCTCCTGCGCTTCCCATGACACTAGGGGTCAACTTGGTTGCTGCCTCTGCCTCTGACTTTCTTGTGTCTTCTACACTCTTATCCTCTTCTTCATCCGGTAGGGAATCTTCAGGATCGACCTTTCCTCCCTGTCCTTCATCATGTTTGTGCGAGACACATTTTCTCTTCTTTGGTGGAAGGTAGGACGACAGGTCGGACGGCTTGTTCGAGTACCTTGGGCTTCTTCGCTCAGTGACTGGCTCCCGAGCGTTCAACTTCTTGAGGATGGTTTCATTTCTTTCCGCATCCTCCCACTCGTCCTCTTCCTTGTCTTCACTGCTCTCCGCTCCATCACCACTAACATATTTCCCCATCTTTAGCAAGTGCGACGCGTCAACAGGACGCAGATCACCGACGCACACCGGCATCTCGTCTCCTCCTTTCTGATTCGTCACGATCAGCCTCTGAATCATCTCAGACTTCTTTGAGGAGAGACTCCTGCCGAGCTTCGAGCTGCGAGTCAAGTGAGCATAAGGCGTTTCGAACTGCAAACGTTACCAGAGGTACTTCAAGGAATCATACTTCAGCAGCTCCAGCTCAGACTTGTGCAGTGACCTCCACACTTCTTCTGTCGTCACGTTGTTTGATGATGCTTCGAGGATGCATTGCTCCTTCACTCGGTTGTTCTTCCGCTTCCTGCTTTCCTTCCGCATCTCAAAACCTTGTTCTTTTCCCTGCTCTATCGGGGCGACGGGCAACGACGACCTGCTGGCTCAGTAGCTTCAATTTGAGGAGTTGACATACTTCGTTATGACACTATCGGGGCCCCCAAACTATTCTTCAACAACTATCCAGCTATAGTCCTCATGGACATTTGAACGTTCCAACATCAAAACATCAATTGATCGACATCCAAAATATTGTTCCTTTCTCCTAGTCCCTACTGCAACATCTCGCTCCTAATTTCCTCCTTTTATTTCTCTTCCTCCTCTCTCCCTCTCTCTTCCTCCCTTTCCTCTCCTCTTCCTTCCTCCCTCTCTCCTGCCATGCCGCTCTTGAAAACTCTGATGACCCGCCAGTACCACCCCATTTACCCGAATGTATTGCTAATATGTGATGTACCCCTCTATTTCCATATTAAAGTACCGGTATGTTGATAACCCTACCCCCCTTATACCACCCCCCTCACCATTCAACGCAAGCAGGCGAGTCAAAATCGATTTGACAAAGGAAGTCAAAGACAAACCGCTGAGTTTATAACTGTCGTGTAACGGCCAAAGTCAGGGAGAAAGAGGGGTAGGGTGTGTTACATGGGGTGTACAGTATGTAGGGCTCGATAAGTAGGGGTTAATTTACAATGCAGGAACACTATTATGCAGGGGTACTCTGGTAAAATGGAGGATTGATCCGGGTAGGGTCCCAAAAAGTTACGTGAGGGTAGGGGGTAGATGGGACCAGGAAGATTCAGTATCTTAGTATGGGTGCGAGAAAGGCGAACGTGAAAGAACGACGATCGGCCAGCTTGCGGAATGAGGAAGATGAGAAGGAGGAGGATGAAGGCATAACAAGACAGGTCATCCCTCTCTGCTGCCTGTGTTGCCATCCTCTCGTCCTCCTCCTGCTCCTCTTCCTCTCGTACCTCGTTCCCACCGCTACTATCTGACCTCGCGTTTCCATTTTTTCAATGAGTTTCTTCCTCTTCTGCTCTCCGATCCTTTGAATTGTCTCCTCTCCTGCTCTCCCATTTTCGCCCTATCCTGCCGACGAGTGTTTGCGAGTCCTCTCCACTCCTTAAGTTTGTGATTGTCCTCCCCTTACATCTTCTTACGTCATCAGGTTCTCAGGGGTCTGCTCCGCATCAGCAGATCTGAAGGAAGTCCAACCAAGTCCATTGAGGACGATGACGTTCTGCGGACTTCCAGGACTGCCCCTGCTGCCTTTCACTCCCAAGAGAGCTTTTCCCTTGCTGAGAGACTGTTCTACCAAGGATATGACTACCTCGATGCTGGAGGTCGAGGACGAAGTATGGAGGAGGAAGGGAGGAGTGGTCAACGGCAGCAAGCTTCCAGGCGCGCGCAGCAGCAAGTGAACAGACTCAAGGATGCCTCGAGAACAATTGAGGATTCTGAACAGCCTCTTGAAAGCAGGCAAAAATCCGACACGAATGTGGGAGTTGAAGAAAGGGACCTCCTTCCCTTCTCCTTGGAGGACTACCTTGCGTTTGACGCAGACAGCCGTGAAGAGTTCGATCAGAAGCTGAGAAAGCAGTCGGAGATGAACGAGAGGACGAAACACTTGTCCTTGTTTTCTCACCCCTACGTTGTGCGTGGTGGGGAGGAGGTACTCGTAAAGCGTGCAGTCACAACCAGGATGACTGCACATTCTAAGACGAGCAAGGTCAGCAAGTTTCACGCTCCTGAGCCTCATCAGCTTCCTTCAACTGCACCAGCTGCTGTCATTTCTGATCCGAATCGATGGATTGATAGACATTGGATCAGTTCAGCCCAGGCTGCTCTCCGGATTTCCAATCCTGGTCCGTTGCCCTGGAAACAGTCTCGAGGGTGGACGTACGATCCCATCCGAAGTGAGTGGGTTGCTTCGGACAACAAGCCCAGCAAGATAAGCCCTTCCATGATTGACCGGAGTGAGTACCTGAGTGGGAGAATCTGGAACAAGATCAACACCCCCAGGTTGCCAGAAAGCGAGAGAGTTCAAGTGAAGTATCCTTACAATACTATTCTAACGAGGAAGCAGATCATCAACAGAATATCTTTCCCAGGTGTTATGAGCATTCAGTCATACTTTTCACTTTGAATAACTTGTTACCCAGATCCGGGACTTGTTTCGAAGCATGAATTTGGAAAACGGAGAGGGTGCATAAATCTGAAGGGACCCCGACTTCCGAAGAAGAAAGCTCAGAATCAAGACCTAGACTCAGATCGAGATCTCTGCGTCCTTGGCAAGAAGAAAGACCGAAATGCGATGTTTGATACCTACGTGCAATCTACGCAAGAAGGTCACCTCCTGAGTTGAATTGGACTCTCTGTGGATGTATCAGGCAAGTGATCAACGTGTATATAAGTGTTTAACTACTATAGACTTCCGAAGTAATCAGATCATGACATGTGTTGTACTAAAACAATTTCTATATGGCTCTCGCAGCCAACAAAACTTAGAACAGAAGAAAGCGCACGAAGAAGAAGAGACAAGAGCATCTATCAAGACCGTCTCCCGCAAGCGACTCAAATATGAAACGAGACTTAGGATCAGCATAGAAGAAACAAGGGTGCTAGTGAGAGTTATCGAGCTTCTTACCATGATTCACATGGAAACAACAGACACTCGATAGAGGGGCTTGATTACGTTTCCTTCTCCCCTGCTTTGTAGCTCGTAAGAGAGCATGTCGTAGATTTGTTTCTGGTATCACATACATGGTCAGCATTCTCTATCTTGAGTAGCACCATAACGACCTGGTGAGCATTCATGGCGAAGTTCATGGCAGTGGCTCCAAAGATGTCCTCGGTCTCTATCCTCGCTCCAACCATCACGAGAGTATGAGCTGCTTCCTTCCTCCCATAGCGACATGCATGCATCAATGGTGTTCTTCCGTAGCGATCCGGGCTGTTGACGTCTCGCCCCTCACAGATCACGAGGTACCTTATCTGCTCACTGTCTCCTAGCGCTGCATGTCTATGAAGGTCGCTGCCCAGGGCCTCGTTGACTTCATACAGGATGGTTTTCATCTCGCTCTTGTGTTCATGACTCTGCTCTACCGCCGGGCAGCATTGAAAGGGGTCCAGCCATGACCAGAAATCCTTGCCCCCATCAGTCATAGGTTACAGAGCGCCTTGGTGGAGAGCCTCGTGTACCTGTCTAGCCCTTCAGCCGCGGGATAAAGTCGCTCTCTAAGGTATCAGATAGTAGACCGATAGTAGCTCAACTTCCTCCTCCTTATCTACGACTTGCTCCTTCCTCTCATAGATGATTTACTTTCTAAAATCGCTTTGCTGCCCCTCCTATTTCGCCCACCTCCTCGATCTCGTTGTCCATTATTCATGCTCCTCCTGCTCCTGCTCCTCCTGTTGCTCCTGATCCTGCTCCTCCTTCTCCTGCTGCTGCTCCTCCCTCTCCTACTGCCCCTGCTTCCTCCTCTGACATCCGGAACCTCCGAGGGTCGGGATCGGAGGAAGCAGTACCCCATCTTTCATACCCGCAAGGGTAGGTACTGGTACCCCTATCTCCCTCTGGTACCCCCTCTATCTCCCTGCGGTACCCCTTGTGTCCTCGGATGTTCAAAAGTGGTACCCTACCCTAGTACCCCTTCTTTCTACCAAAGAAACTTTTGCTACAGGGGGGTGGGTTTGGATAAGTTGACCTTTTTTTATCTTGTGTTTTTTGTCTTTTTTAGCCTAGTAGACAGAGAGAAAGCCTCCGCCGGACTCCCGGGACTGAGTTTGAAGTCTCTCAGATATTCCGAAGTTCATAACAACAGGCCGGGCCGCTACATGCCGGCGAGATTCAACTGATTGTCGCCTCCTCGGTGCCATCTTTCAAAAGTTTCACGGCCGATGATCATCGTAGCAGTTCTCCTCTACTTGAATGCCAGCACTGCCTCTCAACTTGACTTGATCAGAATCTCTAGATCAGCAGTCTGAGGCCGCGAGAGATCCAGCCCTAGAGATTTGTAGGTCTAATGACGACAAGCCTTAGATGAATTCTTCAACAAACATGAGACTCTTGTTCTAGAAATCTGATCTGTTCACACAAGATTGGTACAAGTCCTCGGGCTCTTGTTCCCTACCATTGGTATGTCGCCTGATTGCAGATCGAAACGCAGATGGAGGAGCCCGGGGCCAGCAAGGCAGGATCCCCCACGCCGGGGTTATGCACTAGAATGTTCTTCACTGTCGTCTTGGCCCAGGCTGGACATCTGTTGTCACTAGGCAGACAAGTTGTCACATCAGCCTCACCTGCGATACTCATTACTGTGTCTCCACGCTTCACCGTGTAGATCGGACCGATGACAAGCCGAGTCCCAGCTGGGATCGAGTCCGGGTTTCTGATGTTAGGGTTGTTGTTGTACAGCGCCAGCCAGTCGTGGTTGAAGAGGTAGGAGCGGGCGATCCGCTCGAAGGTTGCGCCACTGCTCAAGCAGAAGCTGCACTTGTCCACATCAAAGATGAAGCAGAAGGAAGGAGCAATGGAGGCAGTGCGCCTCTGCAAGATCGCCCCTGTTCCGCTCACTGCATCCCTTGCCCGGAAGCAAGAGTAAACTCTCCGTCCTTTCATGTCATCCTTTGGAGTCCATGAGTATTGAAAGGAGCTGGTGTACTCGTTATCAGAGCTTCCCACAACAAGCTGCTGGAGCTCGAAGTTGTCGTTCTTGCAGTCAGTTGGGCAGCTGATCCCCGTCTCGTGCCCATCACACTTACCATTGCCGCAGCAGGTCAAGCTCGGCTCGCTCGAGCACAATGGAATCACCAATGACCCATCTGCGGTGCACCCGTCGCAGGTGGAGTTGAAATCCGGATCTAGCCCTATGTTGTACAGGGGAGATTTGGCATACAAGTAGTATGATACAGGACAGCCGACCGTAACAGTATCCTCAAGGTTTCTCATTTCGATCAGTTTCCCTGACCCCACCTGCTCATCAACTTGACTTTGCTTAGCAACATGTCAAGCCAAGCACCTTTTCTACTTTCCAGAAGACGACTGCCACGTAAACTTGAATGTCGTAGCACCTGTTGAATTGAGTTTGCAGGGCGACATTTATTCTCTTTGCTGCGAAACACACAGAGAATGTCTGCGCCTGTTGCCCGACCTGCATCAACTTCAGAGAGAAATCTTACCAAAAGCATGGACCAACATGAGGCGTGAAGTTGAAGAAGCGCTGAAACGCAATGGGTAATGCTGATCCAGGTATGCTCACCGGCTGTAAAGTTGTTGAACATCACTGATAAGAGCAAGATGAAGACTTACTTCGGTCAGAGATAAATTCCCTCCACTCGGAAGACCAGGTTCTGATAAGGGGACAATGTCCAGACTTGCAGTCAGTCCTCCTGTATCGTAAGTGGCGAGGAGTTTGATTTGAAGGGTCCTTCCTACCTGCAGATACCTGTCATGCCTTCTCCGACCCACAGAGAACTTACAGCTATCGGGATTGTATTCGAGTTGTCAGTCGACCCTTCTTCTATGAAGAAAGGATCCCTTGCTATCCTCAGTGCGAAGCAGACAAGGCAACCATTCACGTTGTAGCTCCCCCGGTAGAATCTCGTCCACAACTCATAGTCAACAAGTGGGTCTTTGTCCTACAGCGCACATGACTTGGATCGACGAGTTCTGTAAGCAAACCTGCACTGCTTGGTAGCAAACCTTGTAGGTGCCTGAAAGAGCGTATGGGCTCGGCAAGTAGCTGAACCTCACACTCACCTGTGATGAAAATCAAACTCGATTTGTTTTGAAAACGGAGCGTTCTCAGGTTTACATTGTTAGATATCAAAGGATTGGATGTACATTCATCGAACGAAGTGTCCCCGCAACCCCACTTCTTCTGGATAGTTGGTAGGAGAGGCAAAGCAAGTTCCGGGTATGAGAAGTTAACATCGACTCTCTGTACATAATTCTGTGTGGTTGCCCTCACGTCAAACTGAAATCTCTTTCCATGGATGGCCTCTTCTATCCTGCAACATGCTGTTCTTTCCGGCAGCGTGCAATTAGCTTCTCCGCAACAGCTGATACAGTCAGAGGAAGAGCACGAGGCCTCAAGGGGATACAAGATCTCAGGAGGGGGGTTAGGCAAGGGCGGTGAACTCTTGACGTAGATGCAGGAGGCGTAGCTGGGCTCAGCGGTGTTCCCGTTGTCACGAGCTGTGAAGCAGAGCAGGAAGAGTCCGACTTGTGACGGATCTTCACACGGCGGCCGCCACGTCAGCTCGACGTATCGATAGGTAGGCTGCAGCTGCAACGGAGAGACGGTCAGGTTGCGAGGAAAGTCGTCGTTTTGAAAGATCCACTCGAACTTCCCTGGTGGCACAGCAGGTTTGAATCCGATCCGCAAAGCTCTGGATTTAGTGCCAGAGAATTCAAAATCTTCAGTGTTGCATTGAATCGAGATGAATTGATTTCTGTTGGTCTGGGGACTGAGAAACGAGTCTGGGGTCGCTGGTGTCGGACCTTGTACAGAACTTTCATGCCAATGGATCAAGAAAGTGATCGAAGCACTTGAGCATAGCAAACTCCCTGGTGAAGGTGTTCCGCACGATGCAGAACTCTTCACCTCAAGACTAGCAACCCACCACAGATCGATTTCATTTGGTTGGAATTCAGGTACAAATTTTAGCGCAGCATTCGATATGAAGAAGTCATCCATCGGCAAAACCTTTGAATAAACTGAAGGGCAGAAGAGATGAAAGTGATTCAGAGCATGTTGACAGTGCAAACGCAAAATTACCCAAGGTGTCCTTGTACTCGTCCAAAGGGTGAAACGCCTGAATATCGAAAGATTTGGTAGAGCTCAACTCTACAATATATGGTGTGCTGATCATCGGTGATCTTGTCTGCAATAGGGCACTTCCGTCAGTGATGACGGTAGCAGAGATTGAAAAGTTGGATGAGCTAGCCAGATTTCGGTAAGGATGTCGATCAAGTCTGCAACAACCTTCAAATATCAACTGGAGAAAAAAAAGGTCAGAGTGAGTCACAAGCATTCATGAAATCATAGAGGAAATGGAAACAATGAAATCATAGAGAAACAATGAAATCATAGAGGAAATGGAAACAAGGAGAGTTGTCTTGTTGAGCATAGTCAAGAACATGTCAGTACCACATGCATTGTCCTTTCTGTAGAAAGCGAAGCTGTGAAGGAGAGGCGGCAGAAGAACACATTCCGATCTGGTGAGAGATGGTCGATCTTGAAATAATAGCTCGAATCGTCACAGAGCCCGGTACTTGCAGCACAATCCAGTCCTGTAAGAGATTTGGCGTCAAATGTTTTGTATCCAATCTCGCGATATTTTGGATCTCCGGTGTTTCGAAGTAATCGAACAAACGCCTTCGGATCTGGTCCATTCTCCTGGAAGTGCTTCACTTGTGCCATGGCATCGTCGTATCGGATCATGGACGAGTTGCTCAGGTCTCGAACATCCCATGCGGCGCTCACCGTCACCCCGACACTCAACCCACTGGTGGATCCCTTGCAGGCATCGGGAAACAGGGAGTCATAGAATCCATCAGCACAAGACCTCCACGTGATCTTAGCGTATCTCAACGTGGAATAGTCCGAGCGAGCTGCAGTCACAGGTCAGCTCGTGTCCTGCCCTCACGCTCTCACCTAGCGCCGCCATGGCAAGGAGGAGCACTACCCTCGCGCGCACCATGGCGGGTCACGGTGCCTCCTCGCAGCTCACCATGGCGACTTTTGGCGTCGCTCGCGAGGGTTCAAACTCCGAGCTAGCCGTTTCCTACCTCAAAATTGCTTCCTGGGTTCCGATTTCAATTTTACACTGTTGACTTTGAAAAGAATAAGACGGATTTCAGAATCAGTGGTATTATGATCATGGCAGTAGCCTGTAGAGACGGTCGCCGGACGGAGTCAGAGATCGGCGCCGGTATGATCGGATGGTCTCCGCCGCGTGATCAAGTTAGTACACTGGCCAGTGCCTCT